TTGATTGATCACGCATCCCATGAAAAGTTATAGGATACACTCTGGAAGTGGAATATCTCGTCACATTGGCAATCGAAGGGCGCTGCTGCTGGGGGCGGAGCACAGACCGTGGCGGGGCTCAGAAAGGAATGGCAAGCCTTGCAGCTTGCGACCGTCTGCGCACATAGCTCGCACCCTCATTCACGATAACCACAAAAACGCAACATTTCGTTTCCTTGGGCCCCTGATTACTGCTTCCAATGGTGCATGTACTTCCACGCCGCATACGCACTTTATCGTAATCTCTCGCTTTAAAGGCAATCCGGCATCAGCGACCGCCAAACTGCAGTAGACCATCAGTCCTCCCAGGGCCCATTGTGTCGTTCGCTTTGAGCCATGAAAAAATTGTTACACGCTGTGAACATAGATTCTCATGAGTTGGACGAGATTGAAGGAGACATGCGATCATCTCGCAAAGTTTGCTTTCTTAAAGTCGTCGTTTCGATCGACTTCAAAAGAGCTCACTGTGGTTGAGGAGTGTGCAGTCTACCCATGCAACGTGCAGAGGCGTCAATGGGAACACGTGCTTCAGCAGCGATAACGCGCCCCAATGGGTGAAGTTCACCCAAAGAGGTTTCCTTCTCCGATTGTAAGATTGCATCATAGACCTCAAACAATGCCCACCAGGGTGAAAATCGTGTCGAGTACGTGGTCGCAGAAGTACGACCCCCCCCCCGAAATCGAGATCCTGGCACGACCCCCAAACAGAGAGCAAATTCAATTAATTAATCAAAAAAAATCCTGCAAAATAAATCAAAAAAAAATCCTGCAAAATAATGGGGTCTCATCCAGTAAGGGGGCATCAAGTGGCTGCCCTCACCCCCACCCCCTAGACTGCCTACACTCCCCCTGGCGCACAGGTTTCTCGAAGTACGGGACCCCGTGAGCCAGGGGGAGTGAAGCCAGTTCAGGGGGGTGGGGGTGAGGGCAGCCACTTGACGTTGCATCACAATGCCCCCCCCCCTTACTGGATGATACCCAAGTAATGTTATGGACGCCTCATCTTGTCATCTATGCACTGTCTTTCATCGCTGCACACTTTTGTGTATTTACTGAAATATCGACTCGAGGAAAGAGGCATTAACTTTGTGTGACCTCAAAGTCAGGTTCGTTCAGAAATGCACAGAAATCCTGAAGGCACGGGGTTGCGATTTAATCTTGATTCCTGCTTGAGTATATCAAAACAGCCGAGTGTATATCAAAGGCCGATTCAACGGCAGCTGCGGCGCGATTGTCACTGGGTCAGATTTGCTGAAATAAAAAAAAAACGTCGAAATCTACACCCTCGATGAAAAGGTTGCATTCCTCCATTTCATAACCTTTGAAGCAGTTTGAGGTAGGGTTAGATAGAGCTGGATTTCGCGTTTCCAAGAAGTATTGAAATTGCTCTGAAGCCTTCCATGCAGAAAGATAGGGTCTCTCAAATTTCGTCGAGTAAATGTCGAGGACGCTGAAATTTTCACGCGAGTTTTTGCCACTTCAAGAGCAATATCTCTCTTAAACGTAAGATCCTGAAAAAGGGAAGATAGTTTTGGAAAGCGGAAGGTTTGCGCTTTCTGATGGTCTTCTTAGCTTTCTTCTACATTTCCTAGTTGAGAAGATATCTGCGTCGAGTATGTATCGAGGACGGATCCGGCCACCTGAAAATCCGCTCCCTTCTTCACCATTGCAAGTGTAATTGTTGGCAACGCTTGAAATGGGTCTAGAAAACATCCTCCCAACATAAGCAATAGGAAAAGGGGCAATCGTCATCATCGAATTTTGTCTGAGTATAGGCCATGCATCCGACCTCACTCGAAGTTGCAGAATCGATTCGAAGGTGTCATATGATCATGACCAGTTGACATCCAGTGCACCATTCGTTACTAAGGTATCTAGCTTCTCCAAGGAGGAATGACATTCTTTGTAACCAGCTTCTGCATAAGGGGCAAAATTTGTTTAGGACTGATCTCATGATGCTGTTCCCGATTTCACATCCTCAAACAAATGGCTCTCATATCTCTCGATTTCAACCTGCTGGACCATCCTATTTGGGCTATATTAGGGGACAGGCCTGCACTAAACAATGCATCCAAACAGAGGAGCTGAAGCCTTTTCTCTAGAAAGTTTCGAAGAAGGAACTCCAGTATGCCCTGCGGGAAACACCAGAGTTGCGTTTGGAGCAACTGGAAGCCATACTCACAGCGTCAGGGAGACTTATCGAATAAATGTCATTCCTTTCAACATCTTAAGGACGGACTAAGAATAGTGTGTGACCACTTGAAGATACGTCCACTTTGAGAGAAGTTACAAGATAAGAAAAGTGTTGCAGTATTTATGGAACACCCTGTATTTGACCTGAAATGATTACACCTGATGGCTGATAAGAGGCCTTGGAACGCAAATTTCACGGGATTCGTTGGGTGCGTACCAACAGCAGTGAGATTTGGTTTCGACAAGTAATGTAGAGAGTGGAAAGGGAACATACTTGGTGGAGAATCGAAATTGATAACAGCTGATAAAAGATAATTACGGCTGATAAGAGAAGGATCAGCACAAAGGCATTAATTTCCTGAGAACCAGACCCTAGGCAAGATATTCCAACTTATTTGGGTTATCATCATCAACATCAAGCCTCACTCGACAGCTACGCTGCTCAAGGCTCCTCGAAATGTATGGTATTTGAGGAAATGCGATGATGACCTCTGAGCACTTTATATCAACTTCACTAGCTGCAAGCACCATTCGACGCATGGTGGTTGTTTACAAGCACTCGTTTAATTTTGCTTTCCACTGCGCGTATCAGACAATAATTTTCAGCGAAAATGGGAAGCCTATGGAGCGGTTGCCAGGGCGTTTTACGAATTGACTTCTGCTGGATTCTTCAGGCACTTAACGCTCCACGCTGTCTATTTTCACCGGCGTCTACGGTGCCATACGCGCGGTAGTGCGCGGAGCTGAGCTGGTGAATGAATAACCCGCTAACAAATCTTAGTAGCTCGCAGGATTTGCATTACCAATGTTTCGCAAAGGTATGATTGTGATAACACACCAAGGGCGCAATGAGGACCTGCACAAAGGAATGCTTAATTGGTCAGCCGATCATTTCTAACGATGTAGTCCGCTGTACTGGTCTTGCGATGCTGAGCTCAAATCTGTTTTCTTGTCTGCGAAACGATCCTTCAAAAGAAGTTACGAGTATTATCAGTTATTTCCTCTTGACTGGTCAGTTGCTTTTCCCGCTCAGCCTTTTGTGATGTACCCTGGAGTTCTGTGTTTTTCTCTTCGTCGAAGGCTGAGCATAGTTGGCGAGTGCATCTGCAGTGCAATATTATTTATGTCTCTTCCTAGTCCCACATTACATATTAGACGAAAGATTGAATACGGCTGTTGTTAAACTCTTCTGTTTATTTTATGGGTTTTATCCTTACTCTTTTGTCATTGATTGATTTTATGTCTACTAAACTCGTAGCAGTGCTAATGGCGCACCTATGTGCAATAAATAAATAAATAAATAGGTGCCGAATGTTAGCGAGGATATGATAAGTACCAGTTCAATTCCGGTGCTACTGCGGGCACTACTCGATAATATTCGCTGAACTGGAGAACCTTTGAGATTTCATCTAGTGCTTTTTTTTAGCATTTTACTTTTGGTGTCACAACCACGTGGCATAGTATTCTGTGAGTTAGCCAGTTTCACTTCCGCCATGTGATGCGCGCATTTGCAAGCAGGGTGCAATTGGTGTACAACATTGAGTTGGAGGAGAATTGCTCAACACCTACAACTCATACTGGGCCCTTGTCACACACGGTGTCATGATGCCACTTTGCGCGTGAACTGACACGTAGCCATAAAACGAGTAAACGAACAAGTGACACCAATGCCTGATTAATATGTTCAGCTGCTGCCCGTTTGAAGGGCGAAAGAACCATCGATCCAGGAAGTTTTGTTGCCGTGAGAGTGCAAACCCAGCCCTGAGGCCGTAAGGTATGCTTCCCTGAATGATTGGAGAACGGAAATCCCTTTAATTTTTTTTGAAAGGTACTGTTTCTTTATTTTCTGTGCATGTTCACTTTAAAGGCATGCCCCAGGATCACATTGGTGTGGCTCTTGTACACGAATGCGAATGTATTGGTGGGAAGTGGGCCGGCAGTAAAGAAAAAAGGAAAAGAATCCGTCAAAACGCTCAGCTAAGAGCTCACTCACTTTCCTAATCGGCTGTGCTAAGGGAATGAGAGACTAAGCGCGAAGAGGAGAGTATGGGGCGAGAGAGCGCCACAGATGAGAGGTCGCCAG